CTTTTACTTAACCGCTTACGATGGTTAGTTTTAGGGCATATTTCATTTAGCATCCTTATGCTATGCATGTTTGCATCATTCATTTGTATTACATGCACCGGGCTCGGCGTAACATACTAACTGCATTGTATTTCAATTCCTACTTGAATACATGTATCGAATTGTCGCATCTCATGTGCCATCTTAGAATAGTCGAGCCTACTTTAGTTGCATTTTGCCTATGTTGCATTACCCATCTTGACATGAATTAGGATCATGCATTGATTACTAACTTGTTCTTTGTTTTAGCTCGGAGTACACTGTGAGTGTTTATGCTTTAGCATCTTGCATGTGTGTAAGTGTTGCCATGATAGCATGCTTGCCATGAGGCTATTTGCTTATGTGATATAACGGCCTGAATGCCTGTTGGTGAAGGTTGGATTACTTGAATTGGAACAATTCATTAAAATTCGTGTTTTAGCCTACTTACGAGTAGCAAACTTCAAACCATTTCCAAACAAACGGATATGCAGTGCTTTGTTCCAAATTAGGCGATCTAGTCTATACTTGTGTGTTGTACGCATCACATAGTAATTCTAGCTAATTAACCAGAATAAGAACGCATGTGTTTTCAAAAATAAGGTATCATGCTTAGTACAGACTGATCTTTGATCGGGAGAGCGGGGGTGCTCATTGCATGACCTTCCCCTCTCGTACCCAAGTTCCCGAGCCGAGGCAACTTTGGTGATGACGGACACGTGGCTTTAGGCAACGAGTCAGGGTTTCCTAAATTCCCCCAAAATAAATATTTAGGTGGCGACTCTGTATCTGGCAAAGCAGTCCATGTTTGACACTTCTTTCTTAAAAATTAGTTTTCCAAAACGATTTGCCGGATTTGGACTCTTTGGTGATTTAGCGGTCTTGCATCGCACTTTGTAAGATTAGATTCAGAACCGTGACATTGAGTCCGAACTGTAGTAGCTAGAGAACGAAACGAGATTTTCTCAGGAGTTCTCTAGGCACGTCTACAGTGTGCCTAAAAATTAAAAAAATTGCTTAAAATATTTAAAAAATTCAGTAAAAATAAAAAAAATAAAAAATAAGAAAGTAAAATTCTAATAACCCTCATTCTTGTCTTAGTCATGTTCATGTGCATTTGCATGATTTTGTCTTGTTAAGCTTGCATTTGTTGACTTTGACTTGATTTGCCTAAGTGTTGCTTGCATGCTTTGTTCCTTAGTGATGTTTCAAGCCTAGGTCATACCTTTGAGCTTTTACACCTAGTAGGGGTGAGCATGGTCCGGATTGGACCGGATTGGTGTAAAATCAGGACCAATCCGTTATTTACGGTTCCTGAAAAATTAGAACCAATCCAATCCGTTTAAATCATGGAACCAATCCGAACCAATCCATTTAAATACGGATTGGATCGGTTTAGGACCGCGGATTCACATAATTAAATAATAAAAATATATATATATATATAACACTTTAATTTCATAAAAACATAAACATAGCACTATATTAGTTCCACAATAGCAATATGTCTTTATAATAGCGACATACTGTTATAGAATTTAAACAACCATAAGAAAATTAGTTTCACCATAAGTATTTAGACCATTACAAGTTAAAACTAAAAACTAACAAACAAAAGTAATAAAAGAAGATATTAAACGGGTTTAGGTTTGAGTTTAGGTTTTATATGGAATATGCGAAGATACTATGGGTAAGGATGTATAATAAAAATATAGACTATTTGTATACGGTCCGGACCGGTTCCAATCCGGAACCGTGGGGTTCAATCCGGAACCAATCCGTGGACTACGGATTTTTAATTCTTCAATCCGGAACCGAACCACGGATTCAAAAAACCAATCCAAACCTATCGGATTGGACTGGACTGGATCGGATTACGGATTTCACGGATTCCTTGCTCAGCCCTAACACCTAGGCCATTGCACGCCAACACCTAGGACCATCTTGGAACCACCTTGGTTGACCTTCCCCGTCACCTAGGCATATTGGCCGAGATGCGCATCATCTAGGCCGAGGTGTTCATCACCTAGGTCGAGATGTGTATCATATAGGCCGAGATGTTATCATCTAGACGTCCTAGATCTTTGATCCATGCACCTTGTGAACTTGTTCTGGGATTGGTATGACCTAGACCAAGGATTGGCACATCTAGACCGAGGATTGGCACAGTTAGGTCAAGTGTTATCCTTCCTAGCCGAGATCATTGAGACCTTACTTGCCGAAGCCTATGTCTTAATCCGAGGTTCTTGCCTTGTCAGAACGCCCTTGCCACCTTACTTGTTATACACATTTTGTCATACTCTTGTCTTGTCACTCTGACACCTTTTTGAGGAAATCCAACCAGACGTTGCCACGTGTCCCTGCAGAGGGTTAAGTCAGCCGACAGTAGAGAAAACATATCATTTGCTATATCTTTGCCCTAGAAGAGAGAGAAGCCCTAGGAAAGGGGAAGAATGAGTTCTTAGAGAGAGAACTAGATTTCCAAGCTTGATCTTCACACCTTGAACCGTTAGATTCGTGTTTTGAGGTTAGAATCTTGATCTACTCTTGTTGTTCTTTATGTTGATCTAATCACATTGCATGATCTAGCATGATTCATGAGCCATGCATTTAAAGTTTGGTTTTAGAAAGAGAAAATGAAGTTCTTGTGTTCTTCAAGAAAACCTTGTTTTGATCCGAAAGTTTGTAACAAGTTCCATGTTTTTGTGTTTGTTTTCATGAAATCTCCAAGTACGGGTACCTAGGTCCACGTTTTTGAACTCATCTCATGAAATCTTAGATTTTGGAATAAAAGTTATGATTTTAGCATTAATGTTCTTCATGTTCTTCAAGAGGAAACCCATATTTCCAGACTTCATTTGCCTAGGTAGTCACTGAGACCACTCTTGCCTAGATCTCACACCTAGGCCAAACATCGTATCTCACCTTGGCCTACCTTGCATGATCACTTGCACTTTAGCCTGTCTTGCATGCACACATAGGTCTAGGAGACCACACCTCGGCCAAGAGGTGTGGGACCTCGGCCAAGACTCCCTGAGTTCACCCAGCTAGGCCATGTTAGCCTAGATCATCTCTGTGCATCCATTCCAGGACCTGGTTGGTACCCAACATGTTTTCCCTAGAAGAAAAACATTGTTTTAACTCCCAGCACATGTTCTGCTTTGTCTTGACTTGGTTTTGGAAAGAAATGCCGGAATCATTTTCATTTATGTAAAACTTGTTTTGTAAGTGCATTGCACAACCATCTTTGAGCATTTTTTCTTGTCTTCTGGAAATGCATTTAGTGGATTTTGCCATGAATTTGTAGGTCTTGGATCCTTGCCGTAATCCTTACACCCGAAGAGCTAAGTGAGTGGTATTTTTAATAAAGTTATGTTATAATATTTTAATAAAGCTTTGCTTTGTTTGTTTTGGAAAAGTATTTGATCAAGCATGAATGATTATCCTCTAATTTCTATATCAAGTAATATCTTGTTTTGATAACATTCTTGGAAAGTTCTTAGTGCTAGGGGACTATAATGCAACTAGTACCCTTGTTTGAGATATCTCCCTTGCCACCGACGGTCTTGTATGGGTGAGTTTGTCTAATCGATTCTGGGTCGATTATTCCCCTGTTTTGTCAGGAATGTTATCCTTTGTATTATGTTGATGCTAGTAAGCATCCCTTGAAACTTTGAAAGACTTTGATAGATGAACTTGGTTCATCCCTTGATTTTGTACAAGCTATGATATGTATTGTTTTGATAAAGATCTCGGATATCATTCATTCAAACCTTTATTACTTATATCATTCACTGAGTATCCAAGCTCACCCTTCCTTTTATATATATGTAGGTGGCGAGCAAGAAGGCGGTGACGCCTAAGATGTTATATGCAAGATGTTTTGATTCATGTTTTGTATCATCTTCATCTTGAAGATTATGCTTCTTAGCTTTGGTTCATTTCTTTTGTATATTTTGGCTTGAGAAGCCTTTTGGTCAAGATGTAAGATGTATGTTATTTTATGTTGTACTCAAGTTGTAAAACTATGTTAAGATATATGTCATTTCATTTGGTCTATGCATAGCTCTTATGGACTACTTAGATTTAAATTTATTGCTTCCGTACATGTAAGCCCCGTATGTACACTCTGACTGTGTGTGACTTTGTAAGTTGGCCTTTGGTAATCCCGGATTACTGGCCATCATGGCACCATTCTACTAGGGGCAGAATGGGGTCGTGACAGATTGGTATCAGAGCACAAGTTTCTTATGACACGTTATTTACACACTTGAGTCCTAAAAAGCATAGGATTTCCCTTAGAATGATGTTAGGATTGCATCATATTGCTTGCTACTTAACAAGATGTGCATCATCTCGGCATGATCATTTGTTACTTGCATACATGTCTATTTGTTCATTTTGTTTTAAAGTCACATTTTGCATACTCCTAGCATCATGAGAAGGGGTAGACCTCCAGTTAGTCGAGATCAATCCAAGGACAGGTTAGACAGATTGGAAAGGATGGTAGAAGGTTTGGCCCATGAGTTGAGGCAAGCAAGGCAACAGAACACTGGTACTACATCTACTCAGGCCGAGCAAACAGACGACCGACCTGTAGTTCCACCTCCACCTCCCCCAGTACCACAAGTACCTCCGCAGCCAGCTTTGTACAGGGACGACACATTGACCTTGATCAAAGAATTCAAGATGATGAATCCGCCAAAATTCCATGGGGTATAGAGCCAATGGAGGCAGAAGCATGGGTTCTTGAGATGGAGAAGTTGTTTGAGATCTTTCCCAGCACCGACGCTCAGAAGGTGTCACTGACAGCATTCACATTGGACGACGACCCTCATAGGTGGTGGATGACGATCCGAGAAGTTACTCCGGGTTTGACTTGGGCCAGATTTTTGGAGTTATTTTATGACAAGCATTTTCCCCTTAGTGTCCGAGATCGCAAGACCACAAAATTCCAAACTTTGACATAGGGTAACAAAACTATGGCTGAATATGATCGTGCTTTCACCGAGTTGGCAAGGTATGCACCTCACATGGTCAATGACAAATACAGAAAAGCTAGAAAGTTTGAGAGTGGACTTCGAGGGCCAATACAGGACCGAGTTAATATGCTCAATATGTCGACCTATGCCGGAGTACTAGACAAGGCCATTCTGGCAGAGGCTAACTTGAATAGATATCAGAGTTCAGGAGAGAGCCAAAGGAAGAGGCAAAATTATGACAATCGCCGAGGATCGTTTGGTGCCAAGAAGAAGGAAAATGCGGGCAGTTCCGGCAACTCAAATCAGGAAGGTGGTACTAGGCCGACATGTTCCAGTTGTGGAAAGCCACATTTTGGAGTTTGTCGTTGGGCATCTGGAGCTTGTTTTGAATGCGGTGAGATGGGTCATCATGTTAAAGACTGTCCCAAGACGAAGACTAATGATGGTAAGAGAAATGGGGGTACTTCAGATTTTGCGCAGAAAGGCAATGTCGAGAGAGGACAGATGAGGCAGGGCAGAGTTTTTGCATTAGTGCCAGGAGACACTCAAAGTGCCGAGACAGTAGTGTCAAGTATACTTTCAATTTGCTCTTAAGATGCATATATATTGATTGATTCGGGTTCTACACATTCCTTTGTATCTGCTAAGTTTGCCGAGAAGATAAATAGGGAACTAGAACCCCTTGGTTATGTGTTATCTGTGTCTGCTCCATCTGGGAGAACTATGATTGTTGCATCCATTTATAGAGCATGTGTTGTTGTGATTGAGGTTGTTGAATTATTAGTTGATTTGATGCCGTTGAACATGACTCATTTTGATGTTATATTAGGAATGGATTGGTTAGTAGCAAATCATGCATCCATTAATTGTGTTTCCAAAAGCGTCACAATGAAACCCCCAAACCAAGCCGAAGTTACATTTCAGGGTAAAGGAGTAGTATCCCCACCTTACTTGATCTCATCCATGAAGGCTTATTATTAGTTGATCATGTGTTTTTTATATTTGTCAGAATTTTGTATGAATTTTTATACAATTTTATAATCAAAATTTCAATATGGTTTCTTCTACAAAGTTGTCAAGAATGATGTCTGAATCACCGAGAAATTTTTGTATCAATTATTTTTGCTCTATACGAATTTATATAAAATTTAACTAAAACTGAAATTTTAGACAAATTCTACTTCATTTTTGAAAAATCACTAAAACTCTTATATTAGACCAAATCTAGTATTGTCATAAGTTAAAAATGAAATTTGAGAAGTCTCGTTTCATAATCAATTTTTAGATTATGGATTTGACTAATAAATTTTAGTGTGAAATTATTTTAAGAAAATGTGACGAATCTATGTCATGTAATTTCTTGTAATTTTACAGAATTATTCATAACTTATTTTTGGAAAATTATTTCCAAAACATTACCATAACATATTTTTTTAACATTCTAGATAGTTACATGAATTTTAGAATTGTCTAAATAATTTAATTGTAATTTTAACCACAAAGATCGTGTTATGAAAATTCTGGGCAGAATATTAAATAATCAAGATTACCAATTCAATTATTGATTAGTACTAAAAATAAGTGTTGTGCTAATCTATTTAATTATATCTTGTAAATTAGTAGTTCATACATGTGTGTTGTTGTGATTTATTTTAGTGTTTAAAATTATTATTTCACACCATGACTTGATTTAATTGTTTACAATAATTTGTAAACATTGATGGATTATTGTAGAACGTATGTGTTTAAATTTTTTCTCGAAAATTGTATTAAAATGGTATAATATTGATTGTGATTTAATTTGTAATTATTAGTGATTATTATGAAAATTAATTAAAATGATCAACGAAATGTACAAAATTAACGATTGGCGGTTAATATCGGTTATTCAGGGTGAGTTCTGGTTTTAAATAGTGTACAAAATTAATGGTTGACGGTTAATACTTGTTCAGCGCGAGCCCTAGATTTGAGAATTCTTATGTAAATTGTGTTGCAAAAACCCAAAGATGCACGGGACTTATTTGAACCATTTTCAGTATTCGATTTTAAAATAAGGGTGGATGCGCAGGTGGAATACAAGGAGGTTACGTACCCTTGATAGACTATTTCCGTAGGACAAACCACGGATGCCTTTGCTTGGGTATGTAAGTCTAGACATGAGCATCCCTGATAGTTACGGTTGGTAACAGTTGAATATTTGACCAAATAGGGGTTTCAAATTAACCATGGTCATGGCTTAGTGGTTGGTAAGTTAAATTTCTTTGGTAAGATTTCGAATGTCACCTAATTTATTAAAATTGTTGAAATTATTTTAATGGTTTTAATTTATGTTTACAATTATATTGTTATATCATGTTTATAATGTCATTATTTTCTCTTAAAAAGAAAAGTAGGTTTGTTGTGTTTTCTTACTGTGTTGCAAAGCTCATGGCATATGTTTTGTTGCTGTAACAACTCTGATCCGTAATTAATTACTAATCTGTAATTAAGGATGTTAATTAAGGGATTAAAATAAATTATGTGTTTATTGTATATTTTTCTATATGTTACTCGTAGAACTATCTGTCTAGAATTCTCCTTTGATCTGGAAATTGAAAGCCTTATTGGCCTCCGAAATTGAAATTGGTTACACCAATATGTTATTTGGAATTTTTAGAATCGTATGGAAAATTTTATTAAAAGTTGATTCAGTTCGATTAATTAAGTTGTATCTAATTGGCCAAATATTCTAATTAATGTAATAAGCCACTCTAGTTATAAATATGGTACCATAAGCTCATTTGAGCTCATTCTTGAGCCTTTCTTAGTGCAAAAATCTGAAATCATATTATAGAGAGAGAGAGTGAACTTCCTCTTAGAGAGAGAAGTGTAGAGATTCAAGAAAAAGTTGGAGATTTTGCTAGAGTAGCTCAAGTTTTGCAAGAACCCAGTGTATTTGAAGGCTTTTGGTGAGCATCTAACCCTTAATTCTTGAAGACTATGTGAATTAGAGTTGAATTTATGAACTATATGAGATTAATAGCATGTTTTAGTTAATAAATGCAAAAAGAGGAAGTAGCTAACATGCATGTATAGTTTTTACATGATTCTTTAGTTTTGATGAGGAATATGTTGTTTAAATTGAGTTTTGAAGCTACATGTCACATGCATGCTTGAAATATCATGTTTTAAAGTTTGATTTCATGTTTTGGAAATGAATTTTGTACATGCATGGAACCTTTGAGTTTAAATTTACTAAAGACATGAGTTTTGAGAAAATGGTTTGTAAATCTTTACATTCATGAAAGTTTGAACTCAATTTTGGTTAAATTCATGAGATTTTAAGTAAATGATTTATGGAAGAGCATGTAAATGAGTTTCTAGCATATTTCCAAGTTTTTAGCCAAGCCATGCATGAGTTTTGCCTTTGAATTTGCATTTGGAAGCGCAAAACTTTGTTTTGAAAATCCATAATTTTTGCAGGTCGCTTGAGCAAAGGACTTGCCACTCGAGCGAACATTTTGAGCATCCAGTAGTTTTGCAGTCTATTACAGACCACTTGAGCAACCACTTGGTGGCTCGAGCGAACCCTTTGTATTTTTGTCTAATCGCTTGAGCGTGGGAGTTGTTGGCTTGAGCGTACTTTTCACCCATCCAGTACTTTTGCAGGGAGAGTAGTCTGCTCGAGCAACCAAAGGTGCACTCGAGCGGCCAGGCCAATTTTAGCATATTTTTGAAAGACATTTGGTATTCATATTTTTGTTCCCATCCTTTTCTAATCATATGTAGGCATGAATTATGAGTCATTAAAGAGTAATAAGCTAAGAAATGACATGAGTAATTGAATTAGAAAATATGAGACAAATCTAAGATCTGAGAATGTGATTCACGTGTATAAGTTATAAGAAATAGGTTGAATGAGAAACCAATGTAAAGAAAGCTAAGTCGTCATGGCCAAGTACATGTGTAATGATAAGATATGTTTGTGTTATGCACTTTTGTAGGTCAACGTTTGAAGATTGATCAGCAGTTTCTGGAAGCCCACTGCGAGAAACGTTATTGTAAAAATATGTTCATATGAATTATATTCCAAAAGTGATTTGATAAGTGTAGACACCCTATTTTTTATCGCCATTATGACTTGGACGCCATCGCTTGCACACCCGATGATGAGTCTATATGCTTGTCAAGTGCTCGAAGTCCTCAGCGGAACGCCATAGCTTTGTGCCTTCTAAACCTTGCACCCCTGTTGCCCTGTTTTGGACCAAACCTAGTGATCTTCAAGCCTGCAACCCCTGTGGCCTGCCAGCCACTGTTTGGGGCTGCTGGCCATCACTCTTGCTTACCGGCCACCAGTGATGGCTGGCCGACCACCAGTGTCTTTTACAGATATTTTGTGACAACTGTGCCAGCTGTTTGCACAGATGCTTGCATCTACTCCTACGTGTATGGCTGGATTTATTTGAGGGAGGCTCATGTTTTTCTATATATAGAAGAACTCCCTCTCATATTTTAAGATTGGAAAAATTTTTAAAATTTTTCCTTTCTCTGCAATTCTCTCTCTCTCTCTCTAGCAAATTTCTACACTTTAGCCCATACACTCTTTATCTTTGTGTATACACTCTCAACCAAACCTCTCCATCTTCAAGTTGAGGTGTCTTTGAGCCTTGTTTGAGCCTTTGAGGGTGTGTGTGCTTTGCTTTATTGTTTGGAATTGGTTCTCCTCTTCAAGAGGTATAAGTTTTGCCTCTTTACTTGCTTTTTCAACTCTTTTTCCTACTATTTTTCAACTTTTTTTGAGCTATAAAAACTCTGTATTTTTGGGCTGAAGCTTGGTTTTTAAGGCCAATAAAAAGGGGTGGTTCACCCTTCTTTGTGCCTTGTTTACAAAGCCTTTACCCTTGTGTTTCCTACCTTTACACCATTTTTTTTTGAGCTTTTAAACACTGATTTTCAAAGTTATTTCAGTGGCTAAAATCATGTTTTGAAGTCCAAAATTGGAGGGGTTAGCCTCCCCTCCTTATGTCTTGCTTGCTAGCCTAGTTTGCTCCATATTTTAGCATATTAATCTAGCTATTTTTGTCTTAACTTCAACATGTTTTAGGGCTATTTTTAGACGGTTTTAGGATTGTTTTTGGTTGATCATTGCATTTGAGCTTTGTTTTGCATGTTTGTAGTGTAATTGTCCTTATGAGCTTGGTGTTTTAGGCCTTAGACACCATCTTATTTGAGTTGATAGCATTTATTTGAGCTTTTCTCACTTCTTTTCAGCACTAATAATCTTTGCAATCTCCCTTATTTCTTGGCTTTTGTTTTGCTTTGAGAGTTGTTTCAAGCCTCTTGTTCTTTTAAGCATGAGATTAAGGTTGTCATGCTTAATGGTTTAATCCCTTTTAGGGGTTCATTATCAACGACATGACATCTCTTTCATGTCTTAAGTTAACTCTTGGTTTTAGAGGACTTAAACTCATTCTTGGACTTAATGAATTAAATGATGGTTGGTAATTGAAATTGAATGACTAAAACTGGGACTAAAAATGGTGCAAGATAACAATTGGTTTTGTGTTCAATCGGATGTTAATTGAACACATG